ATGCACCACAGAGAATATCAACCCCAAGAACATTTTTACATGAAATGCAAAGACCAAACTCAGAACAATCAAACTGTGATTTTTAATCTCTCTGCATTTCACATTAGCTTTTTGTCATATTTTGTATGCATACTATTTTTTTGGATGCTATTATTTTTAGTTGGTTTTAAATCCTGCATTTCTTTTTTGTTTCCATATTTGGACAAAACAAACTCCATATTGTCTACCTTAAATAACCATCTACCCTGAGGATGAGGTAACCAGCGATAAAAACGCCACCGCAGTTGATTAGAAGCAGATGGCTAAGGCAAAAAAAAAAAAAAGGAAAGATAAAGAGAGATACACGATGTTCACTGTGGCTTTAAAGTTGCTCAGGAGTCTGCTGTCTGTGCACTTGATTGTAGCCACATAAACTTCAGCTGAACTATGCCTCAAAACCTCTGAAACATCATTCGAACATCGAAAGTCAAATGTCTGGAAAGAAGGAGTAAGGCAGGTGCACTTATTTTGAAACAAATTGGGACTTAAACTGAACTCCAATAATACAACACGGCAAGGGGGCCTCGAGAGACTGACCCCCGACCTGCCTGGAGCGGCTAAAGTAAGGAGATTTTCCATCCAAGCTTTATAAGTATTGGCAGTATATGTTTGTCTGTGTAGTATCTGTCTGTCGTTGTGACATATGGGGATAACTAACAACTCTAACAGCCAGCTCTGACTCCTCCGCTGGGTCACGCAGGGACATGTGCTTATCAGTGAGACAGCAGTCAGACAGGCAAACATGGAATGGGGAACAGACTTTAAAACCATGGGGCTGGTCGCATCTGTTGCACTGAAAAATCAAGCACGCTAAGAATGTGATTGCATAACAAACCAAGAACTGGGGCTACTGAGGTGAGTCAGAGTTCTGCTGCAACAGAGATGGAGGAAACTTAAAAATGTTACACTCATGGACTGTTTATATTTGGTCTGACTCTTATCTAACAGTATTGGCTAGAGGAAATATGAGATGTCTCACTGCTGGACAATGAAACTACGTGCATGTCTCAGAGATTATAAACGGCTTAGGGTGATATTGAATTCTGTTTCTTTGGATTCAAACAATGAGGGCAACTGTGGACACACTCTCTGCTGAATAAGCCCCACACGAGGTGTCGTCTGGCTTGGATGTCGGAACATATCTTGATCCTTCTCTTTCCAAAATAGTTAAAACTTCAACCAAATGAAGCAGAGATCAGTGAGGTCATTTAAAATAAGCAGCTCTGACACTCTTCAAATATGATACACTGCGGTTGTCACCCTTACTTTAAAAAGTCCTATTTTTGTCCACCCCAGTTTTACAGTGTTCTTTTACTGTCCAGCTGTCAAAATCCAGATGACAGGAGTTTAAAATGTGTTTTTTTTTTGGAGGTTTTGGGGCCATATGCAGTTTGCAGACACTAATCTGGGTTGAAAAAAAGAACTTTGACCTCTTCTGTAAATGTAACGGCTAAAACATTTGGTTTCGCTTTTTCTTTATAGTTTATATTCTCCCAAAAAGATACCAGAATCAAATACAAGGCAATAAAGTAATGTGAAAATACAACACGCATCTATCATCAAGACTTTATTAAGGAAATTACATTTATTCATTTAGCTGACACTTTTATCCAAAGCAACTTACAATTGCTATATATGTCAGAGGTCACACGCCTCTGGAGCAACTAGGGGTTAAAGTGTCTTGCTCAGGGACACAATGGTGGATGGGTCACAGTGGGGGATTGAACCCGGGTCTCGCACACCAAAAAGCACACCAAAAAGCACCTGTCTTATCCATTGCACCATCACCCCTCTAAATTTTTTTTTGTTTGAGAACCACTGACTTCACCTCTACTTCTGAAACCAAACCTATGCCCCGGTTTGCAATGTTCGATACACTTGGATCTATCAGGGACAGCTATCCAAAGGTGGGACACAGCTTTTAAAAGATGGCTTATCTTTGCTTTTAGACCTTTAAAATCGTCTAGTATCGCACATCACACAAGTCAATAACGTGCATGGATGAAATGAGGGATTTGATATGATCGTAATCATTTTGCACTGGTGAAACTTTTACCCACCTGATGACTGTACTTCTGAGCTACTCGATGATCTTATTTTTACAAAAGTAAAATCTTGTTTACAAAAGTAACATATGTCAAGACCAACAGGCTATAAATGAAGCCTGACATTTGCTCATGAGAATCTTTTGATAATGTAGAGCATGTGTGTGCTGGTGGCAGATGAAAGGTTGTTTAAGGACAAAGACACTCATGGATAGATGAAGATTATACAAGACCCCAAATGATTAATGGAAGATCCACTTTAGTCTGCTTCATTAGTCCCATCCACACTGTACTCCAGTTTGATGAGCTTGGCTTGTGGCCAGTCTGCAGTTAACAGAGGCCTTATAAGGTTGAGCCTAGCAGCTACAGTACTGTCTCACACTTCAGTGAGGACTACAGTTTGTCTTATTAGGACAGAAAATGAGGGGAGCAGATTTACTTTGCTGTAAGTAAATAATAAATGACCCGACAATCGCCATTTTGTCCCTTTTAATAAAGTTGTGAGGTTGAATTGTTTAACTCAGTTTGCAGGAGGCTACAATAACATACAGGTTAATAAAATTTTAAAATAAGTGGGCATATCACTATTTGGAACGGCAGATAATATCCTTAAACAAATTAATGAAATTCATGTGCGTTTTTTGTTTGTTGAAGTTTGTTAAAGGGTCAGTTCACCCAAATTAATTTAAACTACATAGTCACACCCCTCTCTTGTGATATGTAGCTGTGGAAATAGCTTTGGATATGTGTATTTTCAGAAAAACATTGTCGCTGTTACTCTGTAAATCCAGACCTTGCTGTGAAACATTGCAGGTGGAGTTATAGAGAGAAATAGTCCTTATGAATACCGGTGACATTGTGTTATGTGGATTAACCATTAAAACGGCAGACACCTTAGAGAGATATCTCAAAACCTGAGCAAATAATACAAAGAAAAGAAGAAAGAAAGAAATTCTGATGCTGATTCACTTTCAACTGGCAGTTATTTTTCTTGTAAGTGATTAACCAGACACACACGTGTTTAATGTCAGTTCTAAACAAATACACCACTATTTCACAGTATGTTGTAATAGCAGAAGTACCAAGGCTTTCTAAGCTAAGGAGCTCTGAGTTTGTGTACACAGCACTTTCGTCCACAGTTCCACTCACCTTTGCCCTAATTCTGTCCTTTAAACCTGCAGGTTACACCTGATTCACTGTAGTCATTTCAGAAACTCCATTCCTGTCCTGTTTTTTGCATTGTGGGAGTTTTAATTTTAATTTACTGGATGTATTTGTGTTTTGATCCCTGGCTTCTTCACAGTCACAGGTTGCTTTGGACAAAGGTGTCAGCTGTATGTATTTAATTTCATGATGTACATGACATGGCACAGTTTGTTGACAAGTGGTATAAGCAGGATAAAACCTTCTTTAGTGTTGGTTCCAAGAACGCTTTGGTGTTCTTTGTGAGAATGAAACAAATACCTCCTCCAGTTTTTGTCCCTTACTGTACATAACTGCCCAAGATCGAGCTGTTCCTTAAGAACACACCACAGAAAGTAAAAAAATATAAAAGAAGTGGATGTAGCCACCCATTGGTTTGTGGACTACCATTTTAAAGCATGGAGTTTGGCATTTTGGCTGTTGCCATCTCGTTTTTTCGGAACCAGAAGTGACCACATTTGGATGAGAGAGTGAAGCTGGGGAGCGATATGCATTGCTAGGTCTCTATCCTGATTGACAGGTCACCGTGGTATCGACTTGATAATCACAAGGTAGCCACACCCTAAAGCGTACCCTGCTTTATAGTCTATTTTACTGTAAATGGGACCAAAACTTACAAAATGAACATCATGCTGTATTGAAGAAAACATAAAACTAGTGTTGCAAGTGTTGGAAGTGTTTACTGAGGTAATAAATCAAGTGAGAACTAGAGCCAGTTTGTCGCAGACATTTCTACAATCGGATTTCTTTTTGCAACCAGTGGAGTCGCCCCCTGCTGGCTACTGGAAAGAATGCATGTTTATGGCACTTAGTTATTGCTGTCACTTTTCTGACCTGGAGGCTACACCCACTTCTCTTTTACAGTCTATGGGAGACAGCCTGATGTAAATAAAGCTCTTTGCAAACATTTTTCCCCTGGTAATTTACTGAGCTGTCATGCACTCATAATATCACCGGTGCATACCATCCTCTACCTTTCTAAAGCAGAAATGCCCGGACAAAAAACAACCTTTATTATTTCATTTCAGGAATCGTCTAATAAATCATATTCCACAAGAAAAAAAAAAAGGCAACAAAACATCTTAAAGTGTGAAATGATGCACAAAATAACTGGCAAAGCAAATCCAAACAAAGGTAGGCTGAAGGCGTCGTTTGTCACATCCTCGTCTGGTCCAGCTCTTTGTCACGCAGACTGCCAGCCGAGTGTGACAAATCTGACAGGCTTAATCTGGCTATGCATCAACTCTAGTGTCGAGAGGCTGGACGCACAGACAGACAGACAGGATGAGGTGATGGTGACAGACAGACACACACACGCACCACTGAGAGAGTGGCAAAGAAACAGACAGTTAGTTGATGTCAGTAACATGAAAGCAGGGTCTGCCACCTGCCAATTATGGGTAAATTGTTGGCAACAGTGAAAACACATAGCGAAAGATATAGTGCATGTAGTATTGGGCTGCAACGATTAGTCGACGTAATCCATGACGACGATTATAAAAATTTGTCGACGTGAAATTTCATTGTCGACATGTCGTTACAGAGACGCCATTTAAGGGAGAGATAACAATCTTCATATTAGGAACATTTCTGGTTGTTCATTTCTACCTGCAATGCACTACAGGAAGTACTGGGGGGCAGTATCGCTTCCACTGTCTGCCATGACTGCTTGACTGTAAGACTGCTCACGAAGAAGAAGCATTCATGCAAGAGGCAGAAAGAAACAAAGAAAGAGGCGAACAGCTGAAGGTTTTTGTTTTGTTTTTACAATTTTTGTACGCTATTTCATCACTAAATACACTTTTGAGAAGTTCTGAAGAGAGAAATCAACTGTGTAGACCATTGACAGTTTTAGGAAAGTTGATGACGAGTCCAAAATGTTTTCAGGATTGAGAAGCTCCACAATTGCCCGCGAGGTCAGCGGCCCAAAGAGCCCTCTGGTCCCAGTTACACAGACCACTGCAGCAGCAACGACAGAGGAAAGGCCACAACTGTAAGATAGTTTCAATGTTTTTACCTCTGTTATTCTGTCGTTACTATCTGAGTAATGGTTTAACATTTTAAAGTAAATCAAGAAACATCTGACTCCTACAGAACATTCTCCACTTATAAAACTTATAAGCACTTTGGAGAAATAAACTGCAGAAGTTGTATGAAAGGGGACTGTTGCTAAATAGACATTACATTGTTGGTGTACAGTTGAGGTTATAGTACTTGCTTTTAATTTGCTTTTATTTTATATAGTTCCAAAGCAAAATATTTTTTAAACAGTTAAAAGTTTTAAAGTTAAAACTGTGAGCTTATTGTTTTGTATATATATATTATATTTAATTAAATGGTTTAATTAATGTTAGGGGGTGACAAAAATAATCGTGACTAGTCGACTAATCGAATAAATAACTAACAGATTAATAATCATCACTTGCAGCCCTGGTGTAGTAAGGTTAGTGTATTGTGGCGATCGGCGCTAGTGGCTGCATCACATACATCGGTCAACTCACGGGAAATCTGTGGCAGCGTTTCAAACCAAACTCACCAGAGGCTCAGTCCGTCCTGACAGTCAGTTAGCTTACCAGCAGCACTGGCCGGACTATGGGAGGTAACGCTGGTGTTTTTGGAGAATCACTTAGCTTTAGATCCAAGAGAGGTGTTACTTGGTTTATTTTTGTACAATTTTTGCACTGTAACACAAAAAGGGTTATTTTCATTTTTGCTTGCTGGGATCCAGAAAAGGAGTTTTTTGTTGAGCTATGCACTCCTATGGAATTAAGACAAGGACTCATTCATTGGTGGCTGAACTTTGGGGTTTGCACTGAGTTTGTGTGTGCTTTGTTTTTCTTGTCATCTGTTGGCACCTTTTGAAATACCTGGTTGTTAATGATGTTGTTAAGTGAGGTAGAGTGATTGTCATGTACTTAAAGACATGGGACCTTTGTGCATGCAAACATGTTATTTTATTGAATGACAACATTATTTCCGTTGCTGTATGCCCTTTCCTTTATTGTGTTGTATATCTTTTTTGTGCATGTAATAGGTTTGCAAAGTCCACCACAAAGGGAGTTCCCATCTCCTAAAAGAAAACACTGATCCTGAACTGCCAGAAAACAGCTGGACCTTCTGTAACCTATCTTGTGTCACTATGTAACACGCGTCATAACTGGTGGAGAAACACTGACCAGCAGCACACACAGTGACAAGATGTCCTCCTGCTGCCTGCTAAATGAGTCGAATGTTATTCCTCATTCAGCGAGTACATTTCAAAAGTGGCAGATAAAATTTTTGAGTGGCAGGCAACAGAAAACTGTTGCCTGCCACATCGGCAGGCAGAGAAAAAACAAAATTGTTTCAGACCCTGCATGGAAGGATGAAAAAGCTTGGCGGTCTCAACAGCTGCAATGATGGAGATGAGCTACTTTAAATCTGCCAGGTGGCTGCTCTCATCTAAGCGTTTAACTTGTAACAGTCACAACAAAGAAGAACAAAGAACAGGCTGCGGAGAGCGAGAGCAAGGACAGACATTAGGCATTGAGTAAAAAGTGAAGTATACCAGCGAACAGTGAGTAAATGGTTATACTGTATGCTTGTGTGTGTGTGTTGTGTGGTAAGGGTGACTGCACATGTGCTATAATCTGACAATCCATACTGACAGACGAGCTCAACACAAAGACTATAAAGAGAGCCATCGGGCAAAATTAGCCTATACTTCCATAAAGAGACAACTAATCAAAGGCCTTTCCTCAAGGGCTCTCCGAGGATTTACTTAAAATGTCTTCTGATGTGCTGTTTAGTAGCAAGGCTGATTAGCTACCTGTCCTGAGAATCAGACCTAGACAAAAGACAGGAAAAGACTGGACGGATTAGAAGAGAAATCAGAGCAGAGATTGTCTGCAGGCGTAAACACTGGGCTCTTATGATGTCATTTTACTGAGCAAAACAACAGATGTAAAGTGGACGTTAAGTGATGCTGCAGAGGGCCTGGTTACAATCAGAGTTTGTAGTAGTAACACACAACAGATTTTTATGGTGTCTTATTAGTTTAAATACATAAAAAAAATAAAAATAAAACTGCAAAAGAGACATAGAGAGATAAATGACAGTGGCCCAAATCTGAACTGGAAAAGATGGGCTGTTCACTCTGTTTCACTTTGGCCTGCAGTCTGAATGTAGCCTTAGTCTATGAACTCAAAACTCTTCTGAGTTCTTCTGCCAGTGTAGACTAAGTATTTGGTTCTCTCATTTCTTTGGTATAAAGCCACAAAGAGCAGATGGGTTGGTAAACATGACCTTACTGTGTGCAGTAAGCCTTTTACAGCCTTTTACATGATTTATGATTAGCATGTGGTGCCACGGGAAGAAACATTTTACATGCATGGACTGTGATTAAAGGCTTTTTAAAACTGGTTCTGCTAATGTTTCTTGAGCTCCTTCACTCCAGATTTACAGCAAAATGGTACAGAAACAACTCCAGACTAATTCTACAGCAAGAAGCCGACAAACATGTTGCATAAGAAAGCTAATACCAGCTCACACACTTTTAACTTTTATGTATGTTTGTTGAGAGGACACCGTAGGGGGTGTTTTACCTGGGCTCATGTTTTTTGTGTGTAAAACAAAACACACCTTTTAATCAGTACCTTTTGATTCACAAACGTTTACTGGAATTTTAAATTCTCATACAGTCCAAAAAAAAAATAAAAAATACAACCAAATTTAATCAATTTAATGGAAAACAAAGCGTGCCTTGACAAAATCACAGCATAAAACAGCTAATGCTGTGATAAATCCACCTAAAAACACATTCACAGTGGAACTACTGTCCTTTGAAGACACTCTGATCAAGATAAAAACAAACCATTTAGTTCAGTCTTAGTCAAAATGATTTACTTTCACTAAAACACTGGTGCCTTTGAAGGCCTCTCTGAATGGAGAATACACACAGAAATACAGACAGGCAGGCACACACACACACACAAATCTAACACTGCATGCTATTCGAAGAAGTATGTAAACACGAAAATATGCAGGTGTATTTGAATACAGAGACACGCACATTTAAAAATTAAACGACAAAGTGCAGCATTTGCAAAAGTAGCAGCAGCAGCAGCAGCAGATGTCTTTATCATGTCTGAAGCTTTTGTGTCTGTAACTGCACAATGTGCCAAGTGAAAATTAAATGTGCTAACTGAAAATCGCCACTTGCTACAGTGTACTGAGAACAGACTGAGATCATGTCTGGCATCCTGAATAATGTTCAAATATCTTTGCTCTTGGAGAAACTTGGGAAAGGATCTTTGTACAGTTTATTAGGGTTGAGTTCACCCCCACCTATGTCTTCTATGTCTATCAATATTTCAGTAAGACCAAAAATGCCAAAATGAGCTATCAGGGTAATATCAGATTTTATAATCCCCCAATATCTCTGTGAAGGTTCTCAGTAGGGCTGTCCCCGACTAAGGATTTACAGAATTGTCAAGTCCTGCCTATAGTGGACTGATCATGTGTGTTTTTGTGCGCTGCGAGCGGGGGGGGGGGGGGTTACACACGGTAGCTCCCCTTTAATCTTGAGAAGCTGCTGCAGAGCTGCAGTCTCTATTCATTCAACTTACACTGTAAATTTCCAGCTAAACTGAGGCTTTTTGAAGACCCTTTTCTCTCTCTCTCTCTCTCTCTCGCCTGCCATTCACCGGTCTTGTGTGAGTTTTGCGTGCACGCCGTGCTGCCGACAACTGCATGCACGTCGCGGTTCCTCGCGGGTCTATTTCAAGTAGCCGGATATTGAAAAATGACATAATATTCTTTGTGTGGTTCATCGGTGATAAACTATCCGAAAGTCCTGCAAGGTGCCGACAACTCGGCACAACACCAGTGAAGCCGGGGTGTTCGTCTTCCGCCACCACACACAGACACACACATTTTTACATTTATCTGACGCTTTCATCCAAAGCGACTTACAATTGCTATATATTAGAGGTCACACGCCTCTGGAGCATCTAGGGGTTAAGTGTCCTGCTCAGGGACACAATGGTGTCTCACTGGGGATTCGAACCCCAGTCTCTCACACCAAAGGCATGCGTCTTATCAATTTTGGATTTATTTACGCTCTTTTAAAAACATTTATTGAAAGTTTTATTCTTTTTACTTGTTTATTTACAGCATTAAACATTGAAATGTCTATTGTAATAGGCTGGATATTAACTTATTGGGAGAAAACTGGTAGTTCTATGTAAAATCAGACGTTGAGGGGGTGCCCGTATCACCAAAATGGCGTGATCCTTGTATCGCTGCGAAGCTTCAACAGTCGAATCAGGCTCCGCCCATCGAAGCATCGAATCTTCGACTATTGGGGGTCAGCTCTAGTTCTCAGTCATCCAAGTCATAGTTTTCCAAAGTCATAGTCCAAAAATCAAGGGCAACTGGACTTTAGTATTGGTCTTAAGAATCCAATCTATTTTCAGTATCATTTTGTTAAGTTAGTAGTAATGTAAAAATTGTATGATATGCCTAAGACTCAGTTTGGCCAAGTATTACCTAGCTTACCTTCCGAGAAGATTCAAAGCACTAGTAGAAAATAATCTGATCACAACAGTAGTGAAAACTGCTCAGACATACACATGAACAATGTAAGAACAGGTGTCCTTTTTATAAGGGAACATATCAACGCAGGGAAAATGGGACATTAAAGATGACAATATAGCATGAAATATGCAGGTATATTTGAATGCAGAGACACACACATAAAAAAATAAATCAAATAAAGAAGCGCAGCATGTGCAAACGCAGCAGCTAGAGGCAGCAGAGACATTACAGGCTGTAGTCATGCAGCAAAAATCCATTTCGTTCCCTCTGACTGCAGAAAATAAAAAAATAAAAAAAGTAAAAAGAAAATCAGACAGCACAGCACAGCCAAACAGAGCGACCCGCCTCCCCAGAGAGAGCTCTGACTGACTGTCTGGCGAATTCCTCAGACTAAACACACACACATAAAGGAACATGCTGAGACATGCGCACACACATGTTGCACTAGACCCCAAATATATGGGTTGCAAAATAGCATGTTCAAGTTACACTGATGCACACCCATGCAGAAAGCCTTCACACGCACACACACTCATAAAGACTGAAAAGTAGTCAGGTGTCTGATTATGCAATTTCAAGTTGGCTAGACTTTGCTTCCACGGACACACACACACAGACGCACACACTGCTCACACTTATCAAGGGCTCATTTCAAAACACTAAGATATAATGGACAATTTCACGCCAACACACAAAATCAACAGTAAATGTTCACTGGCTCTTGCTTTCAACAGTACATAATCGTATTACGTACAGCCTTAAGTGTACATAATTAAATTATGTAGACTTAAGAGTGACGGGAAGGAGGGATAAGGCCAACAACTGTCACAATCAGTGAACATCACAAAAAGGCTAAGAGGGACCTATTTTAGTTTAGATCTTTCAACGTTTTGAAAAGCAAATTAGATCCACAAGCCAGCTGAGAAGTAATAAGAAATTATAGTACAGAATTGCAAAGATATGTCTGAGGTCATTTATAAACACGGTTGCAATTACATAGTGTGTCGACCAAGAGCACCCACATGTTTATTTTTTAAAACAGTAAAATGTCCTATTTAGCATATACCTTTGTGACAATTCCATGAAAAAATATTTTAAAGGAACAATTCTACATTTTGCTTTTTGGCTTTCTTGTCACACATTAGATGATAAGATCAATACCAGCCAGTTATCTTAGCTTAGCATGAATTTGGGAAGGCTGACAAAAAACATTTAAATTCAGGGGTTTTAAAAAAAATGGCTGTGTTCATGTTGTATGTATATTAGCTGGCATATTGTTTTTTTTTAACTCTCATATATCAATACTGGTACCAGCTTCAAAAATCCAGTATTGGATTAAAAACCCCCATTGGAAAGTTTTACGTCTTGACTTCTAAAGACAGGGTTTTCTATTTTACTCTATCATGGGATTAGGATGGGACAGGAGTTAAAATCCTTTCCCGTGTCGGAGTTGGTGGGTGTGTTTCACTTCCCATCTCTGTGTTGTGTTTTCCTTATGTTCACTAATTCTTTTTCCTGTCTTATTTTGAAAGTGTTCTTCCTTGTTTGTCTTGTGCTGCGTCTTGTCTTTATATTCTCCTCGATTGTTTGCACCTGTTTCGTTCCCATGATTGCGATAACCTGTGCCTCATTATCCGCACCCCTCCTGTGTATATAAGACATTGTCTGTCTTTTCTTAGTTGCGTGCCCATTGTTCACCATTGTCTTCACAAGTGTTTTACTACTGTTCACGGCTGTGCTCTCCGGTGTCTCGTCTCGCGTCTCACGCCTTTGGGCTCTGGGTTATACTTTTTGTTTCTTTTTCTGTCGTGTAATATTACTCGCCTGTTCGTGAATGGATTTACTTTACTGCGAATAAATATCACAACCTACACCTCATTCTGCGGTAGCGTCTGCATCTGGGCCCAAAACATCTGTATTTCGTATCTGCATCGTAGCAGAACAAAACGGTATTCCACATTTTGAGGGGACCCCGTGGATCCCCATACAGTCTCGTGGTCCCTTGACCTCATTTTGGGAGCCACTGCTTCATTCGGGCTAACTGCACTGGGCCACAATGAGATTTCAAACAGAATCTTAATAGAGACCAGGGTAGATAGGTCAGGCCTAATGGCTCATTCCATTCTGCTCCAAAAGGACATTAGAGGTGACACTCTACATGAAGCAACTTGTTATGAGTCCTTAATCTCTCAGTTCAGTCTCTCAGCAGCCATAAAACTGCAGTGAGACAAGAAGCTGACTAAGGAAAATGAGTGTGATAATAATGCAGTTAAAGTACTGCAGTTCTGAGCTTCCTCATTCTGCATTAATCAGCCAAAGGGTCACTGTTACTATACGTTAGGAAAAACTTTTTTTTCTCCACAGGATTTAATGAGCAGGGTTATTCTCTCTTGCTCCGAGGGCCACGCTCATTAAACATATGACCACTTTTGACCATATGTTGACATCAACACCACACCACAAGGGACAAGACAGAGTTTAACATTTTCACACACTAAAGAGAAAGTGGTATACACATTCAGGCACACCATGAAACCGTTTTCAATGTCTTTATCATGTCTGAAGCTTTTGTGTCTGTAACTGCACAATGTGCCAAGTGAAAATTAAATGTGCTAACTGAAAATCGCCACTTGCTACAGTGTACTGAGAACAGACTGAGATCATGTCTGGCATCCTGAATAATGTTCAAATATCTTTGCTCTTGGAGAAACTTGGGAAAGGATCTTTGTAAAGTTTATTAAGGTTAAGTTCACCCCAAACAATGTTTTATGCCCATCAATATTTCAGTATCATCTTGTTGGTACTTATGTTAATATTGTGAGGT